TGTCTATACACATACTCACCACTAGCTCGTCCCTGTGCGGACTTGGTGAGTTGGGTAAATCAGCCACCCCGAACATGATTGGCTCTAGGCGGCCCTTCTTTGTGGGAGGTGCAGCTACAGTGGCGACATAGAGGCTGCGCTCAAATTTCTTGCGTTCGGCGGCCGTATCCCCGGTCTCTCCCCCGCCAAAGATGACTTTCACCTCCAATCGTGGCTTTTTCCCTGGATTCCCAGACCCCTCAGCCTCCTCTATAGGGGGAAGGTATGAATCATTACTGGGTTCCGCATCCCGCTGGGCATCCCGCTTCCAGCTATTGGATCGGGGAGGGCGCTGATTGGGGCTGTTCAGGCTGGTGCTGACATACTTCCTCAGGTAGCCCTTTTGGATCAGGTCCTCAATTGCCACATGTAAGGCGTGGCAATCCTTCGTGAGGTGCCCGTTCCGTTGGTGGTATCTGCAGTAGGAGCTTGGGGTAGGTCCCATTACGGGCCTTGTGTCAGTAGGGGGAGGAATGGCGTTATGTTCCAAATGGAAAACACCAGCTATAGACATGACCAGGGGGGTGAAGCGCGTAGTCCTTCGATGAGGTGCTGCAGCCGCTGGTGTGGGTCCCAGTCGTTCTGCTAGTCTTGAAGTGGGAGGTTGCGGGGCCGTTCGGTCCCTTATCCTGATCTCTTCTTCCAGGGCCGCATAGTTCCTGGCCCTTTCCAGGATGTCTAGGTAGCTGGTCCCCGGATTCCTCTTCAGCTCCCTGTATAAATCTCCCGTCTGAAGGGCATCGGTGAAAAGAAGGATGGCCGTCTCATCTGTCATGCCGGTCACCTTCAGGGTTTCGGTCCTCCACCTGGTGAGGAATCCGGAGATTGATTCCCTAGGCCCTTGCCTCACACTGGTTAGATACCCGAAATGTAATTTCGGGGTAGTGCTGGAGGCGAACTGAGCCAAGAACAAGGTGGATAGCTCCGCAAAGCTCCCGATCGACCCGGGTTGTAACGTTCCGAACCATTCCTGGGCTGGTCCCCGAAGGGTACTGAAGAACAGCCTGCATATTGCCGCGTCGGTGGCCCCCAATAGCATGAGGCCACCCTGGTAACTCCTCAGGTGTACGTGGGGATCTCCCACCCCATCGTATGCTAAGCCGGTCGAGGGACGGCAGTCCTTCAGGATTTCGGCGTTCATGATTTCCCTAGTAAAGGGAGAGGTGATCCCAACCCGCGCTGGCGGGGTTTGTTGGGGCGTCCGATTGACCTGCTCTCTGAGCTCAGTCATCTGTCTCCTCATTTCGGCCATTTCGTCGTCTTGGGCCGTTCGGGGAGTGTGTGGTATCCGAGCATCCACACATTCCGGTATTCTGTTCTGGGGAGGAGCAGCTATGTTAGCCCTCCTCCGGATGAAGCGTTCCCCATCCCTCTGGATATATTGGAAGTTTTGTCCAACGGGATCTATCATGGGGGTAGGTTCCCTGTATCCGTTTCGAGGGGCGGACGGGGTTCGGCTGGTTGGTGCTCCTCGTCTGGGGGTATGGGCCCTCCAGTGGTTCCTGCGGCGTTCCTCGGAATGAACTGAGGCCATCGTAGTCTCGATGTCCTCCTCTTCGTCAAAAGATGGCATGGGACGCAACGGGGATGGTGGCTCATGAGTTTCATCCGTGTAGCCCCGTTCCTGTTCGTCCGCCATGCGTTGCATGGCCTCCGCCATATCCCTCATCAACTGAGGGTTCATCCTTACATCCTGGGGGATGATTTGCTCGAACTCCCGGGTGGCACTGCCACTGGCGTGTCCTTGCCTGGACCACCCCTCAGAGGATCTATGGCCTCCTCGTCCTCTGGATGCAGAACTCGGTGTAGCGGTATGAAGCCTAGCCATTTCAAAAAATGGTGCTTAGATCAGCTGTTTTCCTTGAACTTTTAGTTTCGTTTCCCACAGACGGCGCCAATGTTGAGGTTTATTCCCGAAGATCCGAAAGCCCAACACAAGCCTTGGATATTGTAGGGATATTGGGTAGGGTTGATTGAAATGTGTGTAAAATATAAAATAGTGAAATGATATCCAACTCAAGAACTTACTTATATTCTGTAATTAAGCAATTACACTGAAACTACCCGAACGGTAGATGAATATGAGATTACAAGGATGGGAGATGTAAATCTATTGCTAAGCTCTGAGTATTAAAATGCTAACCCTTTACAATGATCTAAACATGGGTATTTATACTAAAATGGGGATGGGTAAGGTGGACACGTGGTCGAATCTGGTAGGCTATCACCTCTGCCATGTAAGCACCCATGCCCCCACTTGTTGCCGCCATGATCCAGCATTAAATGCGGCCTCCACTTGCTGATTGCCCGTTCGGTCAAGGTGTTCGGTGTGTGGGACCCCGCCATAGGTGATAATTTCTACCTGAAGTATCCCGAACGCCGATCGATATTTGGGCCTTGATATCTTGGCATAATCGTTACCCAGAATGTTCCAAGTATAAGTTTTATCCCGAATGCCGTTCGGGAGCTCTTTGGGCTTGCTGCTTCTCCCCGGATTTGGGCCTAGGGATATTGGGCCTGGACCCAATATCCCAACAATAATAATAATAATAATAATAATAATAATGATGATGATGATGATGATGATGATGATGATGATGATGATAATAATAATAATAATAATAATAATTATTATTATTATAATAATAAATATTTAATTTATACAAAAGCGTAAAAAATCAAAAACATTATGAAATAATTTAAAAAATATATTAAAAAATAATATTTTTAAAAATAAAAAACTTGTAAAATAAAAAAACAATTAAAACACCTTAACAAAATGGGCGCCTCTGCCACTGTCCAGCAATGCCACCTCTGATTAGAAAAAAATGTCATTTTGTGTAAGAATTGGCACTTTTTCTCTGGAAATGCAATGAAGATGACATTTTTACTCTTTGAAAATATTAAAAAAATTTAGAGAACTGTCATTAACATGACATTTTTGACGCATGTTAACATTTTCCGGTGTTCGGAGCTGATAGTGCTAGGAGGTTGCTAACACGGCAGCATAGGCCTGTATTTTTATTTTTTTTTACGTTTTTTATTTTTATTTTAATTTTTTAGTTTTTTATTTTATAACAATCTATTTTTCTCTTCCAAAAAAACCATCTATTTTTCAGATTGAATTTTAAAAAGCAGGCAACAAAAAGAGTTAAAAAATAATACAAAACTATTCAAAGATCATGACATAGAATTATAGAAACAAACATTATGAAGTTCAGAATTATAGAAACAAACATTATGAATTTATGATGTTCCCAACTAGCTAGTTGCTAATTTTAAGTAATTAAGTGGAGTAAGTTAAAAATTAAACACTCCCGTTCGCTAATTGTACGTGTGTCGTTTCTCTAAAAAAATTGCATGAGGGTGTTTGGTAAACGACATTTCAGTAGAAAAATGACGGTTTGACTACTTCAGCGTTTTCAATAAGTGAAAAGATTGTTTGATAAATAACAGTCCGGCAGCGCATGTTTTAATGGTTTTGAATTAAGCCCATTATATTACCCTCCCCTAGGCCTTGGAAGAGACAGGACCAGCCCTGATCTTGAGGGTTTTAATGTACCTAGCTTGTTGTTGTTTGATTTATTATATCTTTTGCACTGTTGTTTGATTTATTATATCTTTTGCTTTCTTGGTTGATAGGTAAAAGTATAAAACTACTATGCTAATTAAAAGAATACATCAAATGAAAACTATCAGGTAGCGAGGAGGAGGAAAGTATAAAACTGCTATGCTGAAAGAGTACTTCGTATATGAAAGTATGAAACTAGTTGGAGACTTGCTTTGAACGGTGTGTGCACTTCAAATGTAATAGTACCAATAGGCAATAACATATTTATTCTAATTTATTTAATTTAATATTTAATATAGTACTAGCTAATATAAATCAGAATTTTTGGTAGTTAACTAGCTTGGATTAGGATGTAAGTGTTGGTAGGTAGTCATTCTAAATTTATTATATGTAAATTCAGTTTTACATTCAACAAGATTTAGGTATTTAATATAGATATCTAATAGAAATCAGAATTTTTGGTAGTTAACTAGCCTGAAAAATATGCTATTAGGATGAAAGTGTACGTTGTTAGGTAGTCAATCTAATTGATTATATGTAAATTTAGATTTACAAACAGTCAACAAGATTTAGATAAGAATGTTATTCAGATTTCAGATAGTAAGATAGTCTACTAAATTAGGATAAAAATGTTTGAGTTTTTTTTCAAAAATAATGTTAAATAAAAAATTATTTCCCAAAATACTTGAAGTGGCGGCTTATGAGAAAAAGTGAAGCACGCTGCAACCCAAAGAAAGATACTCGATACACGCATAGTAATCAGGAGATAGGCCCCACAAAAATAAAAACCGCATTTATATTTTAAAATAATATAACTTTTTTATTTGTAATCTGATCATTACAAAAAATATATCACAATTGATAACTTTTTATTATCTTTAATATGACACCAATATTGAATATATACAAACAACAAAATATTTTAACATTTTTTAAATGTTATACTCTCTCCGTATCAAATTAATTTACTCATATACTTTTTCACGTAGTTTAAGGCAAAAATATGTAAAGTAGGAGGTTTTGGTACTGTAGCAGTACCGTAGCGGTACTATAGCTGCTTTTTGGGTGGGTTTATTTCCAAAAAAGGAAATGAGACTTTTATTTTGATACGTCCCGAAAATGAAAGCGGGTCAATTAATTTGATACGGAGGGAGTATCTTTTTTATTTGTACTCCGATTGTTACAAAAAAATATACTAAAATTTATAACTTTTTGTTATCTTTCATAAGACACTAATTTTGAATATACCAAAATTAAAAATCTATTTTAATAGTTTGTGCTGTTTAGAATCATTTTAGATAGATCAGGTCTAGTCTGTCTAAATCTCATCTAATCAGATCTGGGACGAACGTTTTAAATAGATCATGTCTGGTATGATCTAAAACGACCCAAAAGAAACATCCTGACACTATACAAGGAGTAAACCAAGAGTATGCGCAATTTTATTTCCTACTATGAGTATTCATATACCCGGCTTGTACCTACCCGAACACCAGAACCGGCGGTTCATATTCTTTTGAGATTATCCAACCCTACCCGACCCAAACCAACCCCTAGAAGCATGTATTGATCGTAAATTTCGATAGTTCATTTTGTCAGAGTAAAGTTTGATGAGGGCAGATCTAGATGTTTGCCAAGGCTGAATCTTATTTGATACTACGGAGTATTGGATAGCTTGTTTTTTTTATACCATCGATATAACCCTCCTAGTTGCAGAATGGTGTATATTATATAAATGTATATAAAATTAGAGGATTTATTTTTGTTTTTACTCTGAAGAGCATCCGGGTTTCGAATTTCAAATGTCATTTAGACGGGGAGGAGGGAGAGGAGGAAGAGGACGCGGTGGATTTTCCTTTGGAAAGCAGCAAAAATTTGAACTATTTCCAGAAATCAAGGATGAGAACTTAGGTAAGGCAACCATGCTTACTGAAAGGAGATCTCTAGCACTTTCATATGTAAGGCTGAAGAGGTATTGGAATTCCTCAGCGTACTTTCTGAGCGATGAAACCGATGTTTCAAACAAAACAGAAAGCATGGATATAGAAAGGTATTCAGACATGAATTCAGATAGATCCAAAGCGAAACCCCCACTTTCAGATTTTATCTTGATTACCCCAGACTATTTTCCTGCTGAATTGGTTAAAGCTGAAAGGAAGACGAAACGTCCTGCAAAAAGAGTTCGCTGGACTCAAGAGGTGGATTTGCAAAAGTTGGATGTCTTTGAGAAGCTTGAACAGAAGGGCATTGACCAGGATGAAAAGAAAACTGAGGATGAAGATGACGAGGAAGGAGAAGAGAATTCTGAGGAAGATGAAGAGTCTAGTGATAATGGCGACTATGATCAAAATCCTGATATTGACGATGATGAAGATGACTTCAATATGGATGAGGGCGATGTTGATGAGGCCACATATGAATGACGTTTCTCTGGTATTGTATTTGATCTGCAAACTGCAACTATACTTTCCCTTCTTTGGCCCCCCTAAGCAATAATGCATCTTTGATGTTCAAATAAAGTAGTCCATTATTTCTTACTCCATATTTAAGTACATATATTTCCATTGGCAAGTTGCTTGAGACATAGCGCTATGAATTTTGGTGTTATTGACATGTAGTCCTGATTTAACTAGTTTTATTTACTTATTATTGTCAATGACCTTCCGGTTTACTGGTTTCTGGAAGCTGAGACTTTGCTTCTTCTTGTAATGCATGAGCTTATATAGAAGTATAGAATCTCTTGTGTTTTGTGATACATCATTATGATATGTATGTGTAGATATATGTGGATGAACTTTTGTTCCCAAAAGGACCCCTTTTGTCTGCCAAAACTGCTAGGTTTTTAACTCTGACTGGCGTGCTTCTTGGATTCATGTATGTTGCTGCTATTTCCATCCCAAATATATGGTACTTCTTTCAGTTCATGGGAACAACCACTGTCATGTGCATCATGTTCATTTTCCCAAGCTCGATAATCCTCATTTCTTGGAGATGTTCATAAAACATGTACTAAGCAGGATAAGATGCTGGTGGTACTGGTCATTGGGTTTGCAGTTGGGATTAGTGCGACAGCCATTAACTCTAATGTATCAACTTATATTATCAAGAAGTAACCAGATTTGAAGGCGATATAGCTAATTCTTGATGATCATTAGCATGATCCATTGTTTAAAACATAATTTGAAAAAAAAAAATTGTTGTTGTGGAGAGCAGTTTTTGGCAGCCTCTTAGTGTTTCAGGTTAGAAAGTTGCGTCGTTGTAATTAATAGTATTGTGTGCATTTGTTGGTTCTGATCTTGATCCTTTTATTATGTTGTAATCCCACTGACTACGGAGTATTGTAATTCTTGATTAATATTGATATACAGTCCTTGTTTAAAAAAATGTTTATGTATGTATCATGTATGAATGTACACACACACCTTTATATATCAGGGATCAAAGGCAAACATTTGCTAATTTATTAACTACAAATGGTATAGTACATCACATTTGCTTAAAAGTGAAGTTTTTCTTACGTTCTCACGTTAAGCATGGTTTTCATTTGATCCTGATCAGCCCGCTGTGCAGACTTGCCCGTTTGAGGGTATTTTCGATGGAATTTTTTGATAAAATGTTTTGAACATGTTATTCATCAACTCTAAGCTTTAAGGTGCACTATTGCATTGGTGGGAACTGGGAAGTTTTCTGTTTCACTTTTGATGACCTTTCACTCGGAATGGACCTTTCCGAGGGGCGTGAAAAAAGCTAATTCTCCTTCATTGGGAATCACTACGTGGGGTGTGATTGTGTGAAGGTGTTACATCATCTGGGATTAAATATAAGAGAAATCATATCCTATCCTATATCCTATATCCTATCCTATATACCTAAAAGCAAAATCCCTCTCCCTAATCCTTTCCCGCTTCTCTCTCCAATTAATCGCTCCCTCCCTCATTTACTACCTTCTTGAACGGTTATTGGCCTACAACACAATCCTCCTCAATCGTACGATGTATCTGCCCAGTCATGGACATAAAATCAGCGCAATCAGCTCGTGGCATCAGCAATTTTCCCTCACCGGAGAATCCTTCTGAATCGTCCTCAATCTGAATCCTTCCGTTTTTCCTTTGAATTGAATCCTTCCGTTTTTCCTCCTAATTGATTATGATTATTGATATTTTTCCTTACCATCTATGACTCCCAAAATTTTCCTATTTAAATACACTCACAGTGGTGCTTTTTCACACACCATTCATCCTTCATACTTCACTCCAGATGGTTATTCACTGCGTCTAATTATCATTATTGCTGCTGAAAGAAGAAGGGTCGTCACTTGCTGCCTTTCTCACATATCCTCGCACAACAATTCTAGGACTTCAACTGACCTCACTAAGGTTATCATTATGTTTTTTAATTGAACATCACAAAGCTTAGTTCTTTGGTTTTCTTTCTTGATTTGTTTCATTCCTGCATTATACTTTGAAGTCTTGACATTGAATTTGAATCAACACTTTGTTTGGAATGTGTTTGTTAAATTTCTTCAATGAAATATCTCTTGCTAAACTTCTAAATCTCTCGAAGCCGATTCCTATAGAGAATGAAATAGTGTGTATAATTCTATATGTGCCTGTACATCATTTACAGACTTACAGTTGTATCATACAAAAAGGAAAGTAACAGCAAGTCCCAAGTATATGGCACTATCCAGCACTATGACACTATCACTACTACTCATATTATCCCAGGAAATAAGGTTTGAACATTGAAAAAATAACAGACTATTCTATCAGAAGTAATATATCAGGTTGTTAGTTCCCTTAAGTTGTGTATACTTTTTGTAGCTTGAAAAATGGAAAATATTACGTAGTATATAAGAGTTCACGTTACTTTAACAAAATTTCATATAAAGCAATTTCACTATGGCACTATAAAATTTTGAAAAATGGAAAATATTACGTAGTATATTACTCCGTAGTTGTGTATAATAGTGGAATATATAATAGACTATTATACAGTTTATATAGTAGACTTCCCCTCTGATTAATAGAGAAAACTGGTTGAATTGCATGCCAATACTTTTGTGTGTTTCTCAGTCAAAACTTTTACATCGTTTTTACTTTCTTTTATTCGTATCTTTTATTCATTTAATTTAAATCTCAACTTTTTTGCATGTTTCTTAGTCAAAATATTAACATTTTTTTTACTTTGTTTTATTCCTTCCATTTAAATGTTGTCCCATTAGTATTCATCATAAACCTATAATTTCATTTTCATTCAATATTGAAGATGGATTTTATAATTAATTCGCTAGATTAAGCATGACAATTGTTTATAACCTATAGAAGCATATAGGTTGTAAAATTCGTAATATCGTCTTTATAGCTTTTAGCTTACTCAACTGTTTCTGAAACCATCCAACACTGGGGGTCTAGAGAAGAAAAACTCACTCATTTCCTTAATGAGAGGGAGTATACAAGATGGTGGATGCTTTGTAGGTGGTGGGAAGGAAGGGATGTTTATGGACACAGGGTTCCTAGAATCTTAGAGAAATGTCAAGTAACTCCTATGATAATCTTATTTTGTTATTTCTTTACACCTTACCCTTTTTATGCTTAGTTATCAAATCGACTGATGCATAAATGTTTGGTCTAATTCAAGGCTGTTGTGATATGTTATACTGATAGGGACCCACCTATTGACTATTAAATAGACTAGTAGCTATTAGATTGGGCCTAATGGACTGTTAAGAATTGGGCCTAATAAACCAAGAATAATAATAAGTGTAATAGTTAGTATAAATAGACTAGACTGGGGAGTAGTCAGGTAGGCGGTTTTAGACTTTGTCATTTGGGACTTGGGAAGATCGAGAGCTATTCTCTTTCTTTTGGGGGGCTTCGGCTCATTGGGAGGCTTCAGCCTAGGTTACCGATACTGTACATTTCATTCTTGATTCAATAAAGTGTTCTTCTGTTCTTATTAATCTTTCGGTAATTGTTCTGGAGTTCTGGAGGTACCTATCAATTGGTATCAGAGACTGTTACTTCCTGGAGACGAAGAATCTGAACCATGGAGGAGGACTACTACATGACACCGCAGATGGAAAAGAGCTTTGATAATATTGATCGAATTATGAGGGAAACACAAGCGAGTATGGTTGCGTCGGGAGAAAAGCTGAAGAAGATGGTGATCGATATGCAAGAAGCGATGCTAACTAGCGTGGCAGAATTGCAGAACCGACTTCAACATCGTTCGCGACATACATCGCACCATATACATCGACATACCTCTTCTCGCTCGTCGCAGAAGGAGTCACAGATGAAATTGAGGAATTCGTATCACCATCCTCAGCAGCGAACAGAATCATCATCATCATCGCACACATCGTACCGGTCTCACCATCACCATTCGCCTAGCCCCCATCAATCGCGGCATTCAGCGAGTTCAGAGGAGTTGGAAGATCGGAGGTGCCGCAGAAAAACGGAAGAACGATTCCGTAAGAATAGGTCTCTTCCGCTAACTGACAAACAAGGTTCTTCGCATAGCTCTTCTCATCATACTTCACATCATCATTCGCGAAGGTCATCTAACCCAAAGAAATCAGAAGAGAATTTTGACTACTCTCCTACGCATAGCAACTCTCATCATCGACACTCAGATAGTTCAGAGAGATCGGAGGAGCATAAGCTTCGCAGAGGGAGTGGAGAACGATCGAGGAAGTCTAGGCCCCTTCGAGTATTTGACACACTAAAGTCGTCGCAGTCTCTTAACCATCGGAAGACTGAGTCGCGAACTTCGACTCACAGATTACAGCGATTAGAAACAGATGGTCTGTATACGCGCACATCCCTATCCTCGATCAACTTGCCTAAGGAGGCATCACGATCAGAAAAAGAATCTTCGGATTCGCCAGTTGGGTCACAAGCTATTTCTGAACCTGCGCGAGGTTTTTTTCAGTCAATAAAGGAGATTGAGGTGGAGACAAATAAATATGTATTCCAGAAAATGAATGACAAGGAAGAAATCGAAGAGAAAAGACAGGTTGCGAACAAGGTGGATTTAAATTCCCTGGAACAAAAGAGGAATGTTATGAGTGGAGGAAGACTGGTTATGGATGATAAAGAGGCTGATACAGCAGTGTACAATCAAGAATTGACTTTTGAGATGTACTCTTCTAGTATGTTTAAAACAATCTTTAAAACCCAGGTTGAAGAGGGACTTCCAGCTCCGTATAATTTGAAGGATCATCAAGAATATGCTCCAGTTGTTTCTTCTGCTATTGTACATCTGAGTGGGAAGGGACCAATTAGTTGTGATTCACCTGACAACTTAGGGGTGGATTATGTGACAGGAGTGCTCAGAACTACAAGTTATATCAATGAGAAAACGGCAGGGAGTTATGTGGAACAAGATATTGAAACTAAGGAACTGGTGAAAGTGAAACAAGGCTTGAAAATAGCAATGTTTTCTTCCGGGGAAGAATCTGCTTACCTGCTAGGACGCCAATTTTGGAAGCCTTACTTGGGAAATAATCCTTCATGTTCCTTGGTTAGGAGAAATGCAACTGGAATAAGGGGTATCCTTACTTACCTGCCAAAACCTTTAAGGTTTTCTTTCTCAAATAAGGTAGGCAAGGATGAAAAAGGGGGAGAGGTTGAAAGCTGCATAAAGGAGTTTCCATTTAGTACAGTATTAGTTTCAGAACATGGGAAGCATGAGGGGCTGCAAAAAGGTGAAGAAATATTTTTTGATATGGAGTGCGGGAAGGTGACTGAACAGAAGGAAACTGCACTACAAAATTATTCTGCTGTGGGAAGTTCTGTGATAATAAATCTTGTACTGAATTCACTAATCCATCAACCAGTCAAGTACTGGGAAGGAAGAGGCGCAAAGAAGAAGAGGAAGCTGAAGATCATAGCGGTTTCCTATCGCCCACCTTGAGGACAAGGTGGTTGTTTAGGGTGGGAGTATTGATAGGGACCCACCTATTGACTATTAAATAGACTAGTAGCTATTAGATTGGGCCTAATGGACTGTTAAGAATTGGGCCTAATAAACCAAGAATAATAATAAGTGTAATAGTTAGTATAAATAGACTAGACTGGGGAGTAGTCAGGTAGGCGGTTTTAGACTTTGTCATTTGGGACTTGGGAAGATCGAGAGCTATTCTCTTTCTTTTGGGGGGCTTCGGCTCATTGGGAGGCTTCAGCCTAGGTTACCGATACTGTACATTTCATTCTTGATTCAATAAAGTGTTCTTCTGTTCTTATTAATCTTTCGGTAATTGTTCTGGAGTTCTGGAGGTACCTATCATATACATATTTTTGCCACAAAAATCTATTGCTGCATCATACTGTACTTCAATCTATAAGACATAAACTGTAATGTGAACAGAAAAGAAGTAAACATGATCTCCACTATGCTTATCAGATACAAATACCATTCTCTATGCCATATTTCCAAATGCTTATCACATCACTCAACTGCACTTGTTTCCTATCTTCAATGTTTCTTATTTACTTCACTATTGGTTCTTATTTTCCAAGTTTCTCAATTGATTTATTAGTTGCTCTTAGTCTGCTAGGAGATACTGTAGAGTTGATGGAGGGTGATTCCTTTTATCTAGACAGCCTAGACTACATATTTCCACTTTACAGGTAGAGGAATAACTCAGTTTTTTATTTTTTTTGTTTTGCACACTGACTATCAAGTATCATTTCTGCAGTTTTTATCGAGACTATATATATATATATAGGGGAGAGTTCAAATAAAAAGTACTCTTCCCGTGCAAAGTGCGAAAATTGCACTTTTACACGTTTCGCTTGCACTTTTTCGTGTTTCCTATATATATATATATACATATACATATATAGGAAAAAGTTCAAGTAAGGTAGGCCTAAGAATTGAAATTCTTAGGCCTCTTTCATTTGAGGTGCTTCCCGGACGAATTTTTTGATGAAATTTTGTGAGCATGTTATCCATGAAGTGTTGACTATGCCCACCAAATTTCAAAATAAAATTCAATCGGGAAGTCGGTTAAATAATTTATTCAAAATTGCGCAGGTTTTTACATAAATAAAATGCAGTTTTTTTTTCAACAATTTATTTAAATGACTTCCCGATTGAATTTTATTGTGAAACTTTGTGGACATCATATTCAATCCATCAAGAACATGCTCACAAAATTTCATCAAAAAATTCAACCCCGAAGCACCTCAAATGAAAGAGGCCTAAGAATTACAATTCTTAGGCCTACCTTACCTTAGCATTGTCCTACATATATATATATATATTGGGAACTCTTCCGGTAAGGTATACCTTACCGGAGCCTCCGTGCGGCCTCCACGTTTTGAGGGCCTTCCCGGTGGAATTTTTCGATGAAATTTTTTGAGCATGTTCTTCATCAAGTATAGTACATCCATACCAAATTTCAGCAAAACATTCAATCGGGAAGGCAGCCAAACGATTTTTGGAAGATAACTGCGTTTTATATGTATATAAAAAGTGCAGTTATCTTCCAAAAATCGTTTGACTGCCTTCCCGATTGAATTTTTTGCTGAAATTTGGTATGGATGTACTAGACTTGATGAAGAACATGCTCAAAAAATTTCATCAAAAAATTACACCGGGAAGGCCCTCAAAACGTGGAGGCCGCACGGCGGCTCCGGTAAGGTATACCTTACCGGAAAGATTTCCTATATATATTTATATATATTTATATATAAATAAATATATATATATATATAGTTTTGTGTATGTTCCTCATCAAGTCTAGTTCATCCATACCAAATTTGAGCAAAAAATTCAATCGGGAAGGTCGTCAAACGATTTTTGCAAGTTAACTGGTCCGGAAAATACATATTCCGGACCAGTTAACTTGCAAAAATCATTTGACGACCTTCCCAATTGAATTTTTTGCTAAAATTTGGTATGGATGAATTAGACTTGACGAGGAACATACACAAAAAATTTGAGCAAAAAATACCACCGGGAAGGCCCCCAAATGGAGGAGGCCGGACGGGGTTTCTGTCCGGAAATTCCAGACAGGAATATTTGTGTGTGTATATATATATAAAGAGAGAGAGGACTGCTCAGGTCCAGCCAGAGGGACGGGAGCAGCCGTCCGAACTTCACTGTTTGGGGCGATTCCCGGTGGAATTTTTTGAGGAACATGCTCAAAAAATTTCATCGGAAAATTCCACCGGGAACCACCCCAAACAGTGGAGTTCGAATGGCTGCTCCCGTCCCTCCGGCTGGACCTGAGCTTTTATGTATATATATTTATTGTTGCATATGTTTCTATATGCTGCAAATTTATGTTTCTGGAGGTGCTACAAAATCAACTATAGTTTTATATTTGGTTTCAAGCAAGGGAAGGATCTGGGTTAACACCTTAACGGGAAGTCTTTCTCCTTTTAGAGATTGGGAGAAGAAAGTGAAACAGTCCCTAAGCTCATTTGGCAGAGGAAGGATAAGGGAAGGAGTAAAGGTGTTGGCGAACAAAGGCAGGCACTTGTTTGTTAAGGCCTTCGGTAATGAAGGAAAATGCCCCAAAAGTGCGACAGCTTTGCAGTAGAGCATGACAACATGTGGTTCACCTGAGAAAAATCAAACCAACCAGTGTGTGGAAGAGGTTTTAAATGGAATAGGTTCTACTGACTGTTCTGCTGCCAAATAACTTAAACACCCTAATTGATCTCATACACTTCCACTGTAACAAAAAAAAGTAAAACATAGTTGTATTATTAGAGCTATGACTACGTAGAAAGTTGTAAAACATGAGGAGTTTAATGAATTTTTTAAGTAATCATTATTGATTTATAATACTTTTTCTTTTTTTATGCTTCTTTTATTAAATGGTTTGATTACTATTCATTTCTTTAGAGAGAATATAGTATGGTAGGAGTAGAAAATGCATTTTTTCATATATTGATTTCTCTCCTATGATTATAGAACTTATTGATGGAAAAAAGATAAAATGCAACATGTGGCCTAATTCATTTGTTTAACTTATTGGGCGAAGATTTTCTGACACATAAATGAAAGAGAATATAACTTGGTTTCACATTGGTCACTTTCAAAATATTTTATCCTTGCATCATTCTATTCATTTACATTTGTGTGTAAAATGAGAAACTTCATTTTTATTTTCCAGGTACTAGAATTTACTCTATCCATGCCAGTCTTTTCATACTGTATGGCAAGGCTAGAGTTTTTATTTTTTTTTATTTTTATGGGTTGTCTAATTTTTTAAGCGGCTGCTGCTTTTTTTCCCCACCAATTAATCCTTAATAAACATCAAATTATGCATGAAACTGAAAGTAAAGTTACAAATACAAAGACGGTGACAAAGGGCATAGGCATATATATTAAGATGACTACCGAAACAGCAAGATTCTAAACATATGAAATCTTCACAATGCCATCCATATTCAATTAAGAAAATCAACTCTTGAATGCTATATTGAGGTGCTCCTTTCTCGGTTTCAGTAACTACTCCCATACCATATTATTTTAAATGTAGTCATTTTATCTTTCGTTAAGAATTAAGATTAGAATTACACCATCTCTCTGTTTGGATTTTGTATCCGAAAAGGGCATGTCCTTTAAGGGACCTTTAGTTCTCCTGTGTAAGGAATCTGGACCGGCTCAGACCTCAATCACCATAGCCCAAAAGGCTTGCTCACCATTCACCACCAAGGAGGAACTCAGGGAAGATCAAAAGGGCATCAAGCCAGCAACCCTCAGTTTAGGAGCCCAAATCACCCAGCCCGACTACCCAATGAGACCCACCGGAGAAGAGAACCCCACAACCAACCAAACCTAGGTGAAGACCCCAACAGGATTCCCAATGTATTACCGAAGGTAGCCGAAGCTCAGACCTATCGGTAAACCGGCACTCTCTCACTCTAGGAAAGGGGCAACTCAATCGACTTCACATCGGATAGAGAGAAGAGGAGACGAAGAAATAGGCGGTTCCAGAAGGAACCAGACAACATAAGAGAGGGCCACCAAGAGTCACGGGCTGGATATAAACAAGAGGGGGCGAATGGGCTAAGTCAGGCTGTCAGCCCAAAATGGGCCAGATACATTTAATAGGAGACCAAGTTATTAAATGGAGTGGGTCAATGGGTCAAGGAGGGGGGCCAATACCTACTTACAATCTCCACCTTATTGGTCCTCCCGGTGGTGTAGAGCATAACGTGAAAGGGAGTATCATCATTGCCGGTTTTTTCTTGTGTACCTGTTCTTATCTAGCCACAGTCTAAATTAAGGGTACGTTTACAAGATAAAAGTTTTTCAAAATTAAGACATTTAGTCCCCATATCAGCAGGATTGAACTCAGAAGCAATCTTGCACAGCTTGATATCACCTGCATCAACAATATTCCTTATAAAGTGAAATCTGACATCTATATGCTTGGTCCTGTCATGGAAGACTGGATTTTTGCATAACTGGATAGCAGACTGGCTATCAGAATAGACTGTCACAACCTGCTTAAGAAAACCAATTTCAGTTAGTACACGCTTCAGCCAAATGGCCTCTTTAAAGGCTTCAGTGGCTGCAACGTATTCAGATTCAGTAGTGGATAGTGCAACAATAGGTTGCAGTTGTGATTTCCAGCTTATGCAGGAACCACAAAGGGTAAAAATATAGGAGGTGGTTGACTTCCTATTGTCCCTGTCATTCGCATAATTGGAATCAACATAACCAGTAAGCAAAATACCAGACGGGGTCTTAGAGAACACAAGTCCATGAGAGGGGGTACCCTTAAGGTACCTAAGCAGCCATTTAAGGGCAGTCCAGTGAGGCATACCAGGCTTTGCCATGTATCTACTTAAGCAACTAACAGCATAGGCTATATCAGGTCTTGTGCTTACCATGAGATACATGACTGACCCTATAGCACTGGAATAGGGTACAGATTTCATCCTATCTATCTCAGGAGCAGTCCTTGGGGACTGATCCTTACTTAGCACAAAGTGGGGTGCTAAAGGAACATCAACAGGTTGGGCAGAGTTCAAATTGAACTTTTTCAAGACCTTATCAAGATAGGAGGTTTGGTTCAGGGTGAGAGTACCATTACTTCTATCCCTAACAATGTTAATTCCTAAGATTCTTTTAGCATCTCCTAGGTCTTTCATAGCAAAGTTCTCACTAAGGCATTTTTGAACAAATTTTATAGCATTCACAGAAGGGCTGATAAGCAACATATCATCAACATATATCAACAAGAAAACAGGTTCAGAAACAGTATCTTTAAAGTACAGGCAGTGATCAGAATCAGACTTCTTAAACTTTAAGGAGGTCATGCATTGGTCAAACTTTATATTCCACTGTCTGGGAGACTATTTCAGGCCATAGAGGGCCTTTTTCAGTAGACAGACATGCCTGGGGTATTTAGGGTCAATAAACCCCTCAGGCTGGGTCATGAAAATCTGTTTATCCAGGTCACCATGGAGAAAAGCAGTAGTAACATCCATCTGCTTCATTTCCCAGTTATTATAAGCAACTAGGGCAAGCATCATCCTAATTGTGGTAAACTTAACAACTGGGGCAAATATTTCAGCATAGTCCACACCTTCTTTTTGGGTAAAACCCTTGGCAACTAATCTGGCCTTAAACCTAATGTCATTAGGTTCTTCTTTCACCTTAAACAGCCATTTACATTCAACTATAGAACAGTTAAGTGGCCTGGGAACAAGAGTCCAAGTCCTATTTAGTTTCAGAGATTCAATTTCACTTTGCATAGCACCTAGCCATTTTTTTGATTCTCTAGAGCCAAGGGCTTCTTGGTAGGTCTTAGGTTCATTCAAGTCAAGGGTTTCAAAGACAGAGAATGCAAACAAGGAAGTGTCATATAAGTGAAAGGCAAAATCATTCATGCTATCAGACACTTTCTTAATATTCCTTCTAGCCCTATCTCTAGCTAACTGATAATCATTCAGGCTATTGTTCACAACAGGAATAGACCTAGACTCATTAGTATCAGTATAATCAGATTCAACAAATGTCTCATGCAAACCTTCACTACTAGCAGTTTCAGTAGACTGCTCCACCTCACTAGAGGTGGAGGGGGTTTCATGCAAAGTGCTAGAAGACTCAGAAGTATCAGTAGACTCAGTTTCATTAAACAGGGGGATAACAGCAGTTTGAGTGGGCTCCACCTCAATCTGAGAGGTGTCATCAGAGTTGGGTTCAGGCTCAGTTAAGGTTTTTACTAAGCAAGGGAAATCAAGTTCATTGAACACAACATTTCTACTGATAATGACCTTAAAACCAATCTGGTTCCTATCCCATACCCTATATCCTTTTACCCCTTCAGGGTAACCAAGGAATATGCACTTCTTAGACCTAGGGTCCAATTTATCAGTTTGTTGATGTACATATGCAGCACATCCAAACACTTTCAGGTTTGACAAATCAAGAGACTTATTTGAGAAGATAGACTCAGGACATTTACCACCTAAAGGGGCTGAGGGGGATCTGTTTATCAGGTAGGCTGCAGTGTTCACAGCCTCTCCCCAGAATTTCTTTGGGAGGCCAGAGGTAGCGAACATACTCCTAACTTTGTCTAGGAGGGTTCTGTTCATTCTCTCAGCCAAACCATTTTGTTGGGGAGTATAGGGCACAGTTTTGTGTCTCCTAATCCCTGACTCAGTACACAGTCTATTCATGTCCTTGTTACAAAATTCTAAACCATTGTCAGTCCTTAGGGTCTTAACCTTACATCCAGTTTGATTCTCTACCATAATTTTCCACTCTTTAAATCTAGCATAAACATCAGATTTATGTTCTAATAAACAAATCCAAACTTTTCTTGAAAAATCATCTATTATGGAAAGGAAATATCTCCTACCCCCATGGGTAGGGACACTGGCAGGTCCCCATACATCAGCATGTATGTATTCAAGGACAAAGGAAGATTTAAGCTCGCTTGAGTAGCTAGAGACAGGGAACTGAACTTTATGCTGCTTACCTAAGACACAACACTCACAGAATGGTACAGGTGACACTATGTCTTTTCCAAAATACCCAGCCTTTTGTAAAATGTTCAGGCCTTTGTTACTCATGTGACCAAGTCTTTGGTGCCAAAGCACAGACTTGTCTGGGAGTACAACATTGGCTTTTTCAAAAAATGGTTTAGCATTAACAACATACAGGTTATTTTGTTTCAAAGCCTTAAACAAAACCAGTGAGTTTTTCAGGATTTTCATACACCCATTCCCCCACTTTCCCTCAACACCACATTCTTCAAAAGCAGACACAGAAAGCAGATTGTGTCTAAGATCAGGTATATGTCTAACATTTTTTAATTTGAAAACAGTTCCATTATCAAATTTCAGACTTATGTCACCCATACCATGGACCTTACACCTCTTACTATCTGCTAAGGACACATATCCAGCATCACACTGTGTGTAGGAAGAAAACAGGTTCCTAAAGGGTGTCATATGGTAGGTGCAACCTGAATCTATTAGCCATTCATTCTCAGTCAAACTACTAAGTACAGAATTGGCCTCATCACTGACCATAAAGACTTCCTCAATAACATCCTTATTGGTTACTACATTAGCCTGATCATTTCTTTTGGGTTGGGTACAGTCTTTAATAAAGTGACCTGGGTTACCACAGTTGTAGCAAACCCTTTTTTTGCTTTTATACCTTTTCTTAATTGGGTTCCTACTGTTTTTATCCTGATTCTCTTTCCTAGGGTATCTAGATCTACTTTTAGACCTACCCCTGACAAAATAAGCTTCACCCGAAT